CCAAATCCCCTCCCCAAATCCCCTCCCCAAATCCCCCTCCCCAGACCTTGTAGAAGTTGAAGACCAGGTCGAGCTCGCAGACGTTGTGGAAATACTCATTGAGCACCTGGGGGGAACCCAATTAACAACCCCCGTTAATTAACCCGGGGGGCTCATTAAGACCCCGGGGGGGTGGGGTGTTAATTAAGGGCGGGGGGGTTAATTAAGGGGGCAGTTAATGAGTCACCTCCACGAAGTTGTGGATGGCCTCCAGGTAGGCCAGGTTGTTGTCGGTGACGTCGACGCAGATGCAGAAATAGAGCCCGGCGTAGCGGCGGTAAATGATCTTGAAATTGCGGAACTGGGGGGACTGGGAGTTACTGGGACGGACTGGGAGGGACTGGGAGGGGACTGGGAGGCACTGGGAGGGACTGGGGCAGACTGGGATGGACTGGGATGGGTCTGGGGGGCACTGGGGGGCACTGGAGCCCGGCGTAGCGGCGGTAAATGATCTTGAAATTGCGGAACTGGGGGGACTGGGAGTTACTGGGACGGACTGGGAGGGACTGGGATGGGACTGGGGGGCACTGGGATGGAACTGGGAGTTACTGGGATGGGACTGGGACAGACTGGGAGGGACTGGGACAGACTGGGATGGGGTGGAGGGGCACTGGGAGGAACTGGGAAGGACTAGGATGGGACTGGGAGGGACTGGGACAGACTGGGGGGAACTGGGACAGACTGGGATGGGACTGGGGGGCACTGGGAGGGACTGGGACAGACTGGGATGGACTGGGATGGGACTGGGGGGCACTGGGATGGGATTGGGAAGGGCCCCAGCTGCCCCCAAAGCTCCATTAACCCAAATCCTCCCCATTTTCCCCTAAAACTCAGCAATTTTGGGGTGAAAATTGTGAATTTTGGGGTAAAACCTGGCAATTCTGGGGTGAAAAAGGGCGATTTTGGGGTGAAAATGATGACTCTGGGATAAAACCTGTCGATTTTGGGCTGAAAAAGGGCGATTTTGGGGTTTTTACCTCGACGAAATTGGTGTGTTTGGCGTCCCTGACGGTGACCACGGCGTGAACCTCCTCGATCAACTTCTGCTTCTCGTCATCGTCAAACTGCATGTACCACTTGGCCAGGCGGGTCTTGCCGGCCCGGTTCTGGATCAGGATGAAGCGGATCTGCCCCGGAATTCCCAGAAAAAACGGGATTTTGGGAGAGTCAGAAACTGGGGGAAAATCGGGAAAATTTCCTCCCTGAAATTCCCATTTTTTTCATCATTGAAATTTGGATTTTGTCATCATTTAATCAGGGGAGTGTTCCCAGCCCGGTTCTGGATCAGGATGAAGCGGATCTGCCCCGGAATTCCCGGAAAAAAACGGGATTTTGGGAGCGTCAGAAATTGGGGGAAATTGGGGAAATTCCATCTTGCAAATCTGGAATTGAAACTGGGATTTTTTTGGTGCATAACGAAGGGCAAAAGGGGCTTTTTGGACCCCCCCCAAAATGGGATTTAAAGGGACTCCCCCCAAAAAAATCCATGGGGGATCCCTAAATGGGCAGGAAAAGGGATTTTAGGGAAAAAACCTCGAGCCCACCCCCCAGAATCCCCTCCAAAGGACCCGAAAATGAGGGAAAATTCTAGAATCCCCTCAAAACAGACCCTAAACTGGGGAAAACACCCCAAAACATTTCAAAATCCCCCCAGAACACCCCAAAAGTGACCCTAAAATGGGGAAACCTTCCCAAAATCCCTCAAAACAGATCCTAAAATGGGGTGACAGCCCCAAAGCCTCCTCATAAAAACCCAAAAATAGCGAACCCCCCCCTCAGAACCCCTCAAAATTACCCTAAAATAGGGAAAACCCTCAAAGCATCCCAAAATCTCCTCATAAAAACCCAAAATTAGTGAAACTTCCCCTCAGAACCCCTCCAAAGAGACCCTAAAATAGGGAAAAACCCCCAAACACCCCAAAATCTCCTCATAAAAACACAAAAATAGTGAAACTTCCCCACAGAACCCCTCCAAAGAGACCCTAAAATAGGGAAAAACCCCCAAACACCCCAAAATCTCCTCATAAAAACACAAAAATAGTGAAACTTCCCTTAAGAACCCCTCAAGATCCTCCTGAATGGACCGTTAATTAGGAAAAACCCCAAAATCTCCTCATAAAAAACCAAAATAGTGAAACTTCCCCTCAGAACCCCTCAAGATCTCCCCCCCCCCCCCCCCCCCATTCCCCTCACGGCGCTCCAGGCCCGAGGCCCCCCCCGGTCCTTCTCCCTCCTCCCGACCCTCCCCATCCCCGCTGTCGCCGTGTCCCCCCCGCTTGTCCGCTGCCCTCAGGGGCTCTCACCATGGCGGTGCCGGCCCGAGGCCTCCCCGGTTCCGATCCCGGTTCCGATCCCGGTTCCGATCCCGTTCCCGGTTCCGCCCCCCCCTTCACGGCCAGGCCCCGCCGCTTCCCGCCTCCGCCAGGGGGCGCCCCCCCGCGCACCGCGCCTGCGCGGAAC